GAGATAACATGCCATAATTCATTTCCTCAGATATCTATTTGAATCTTTCAGATTGCTACAAAGGACCCTTTAAACCCAATTAAGCAAGATGTGAAAAAAGGGAAACTCCGTTATGTTGCGAATTTGTTTCCCTACAAGGGGTACATCTGGAACTATGGTGCCATCCCTCAGGTATGTTTGCATGTACTTCCTGAAAATATACTCTTTTAACTTACTAAAAATTAACTTAAGTGGATATATAACACCTTCAGAAAAAGTAGACTTAAAAAACTTAGGGGTAATTAATACATTTTAATACTTCCTTAAATACCCTTTTTTTCATAATTAGCTGAAATTTAAATACAATATTTAAACTCAGATTTGAAAGTTTATTCTTTTCCAAAATATTTTGTTTTTTTTAATGGACTGGTTATAAGATATATGCATTCTTTCTTTCCAGATTAAGTATATGCATTCTTTCTTTCCAGATTAAGTGGCATGTCTACTAATAGAGACTTCTTTTTTGGGGGGAGTGTTAGTGAGGATCAAACTCAGGGCCTCATGCGTACAAGGCAGACACTCTACCACTAGCTGTATCCCCAGCCCAAGTCTACAACTAATAAAGAGAGAACATAAGACGGTGGTTAAAAGCACTGATTTTTGGCTCTGGACTTATCTCCCTTTCTTTCTCCCTGAGACATTAATAATATTCAGTTCCTGAAGTTATTGGCAGAGATAAAGCATACAGTACCTCACATGCAGTTCTCATAGCCATTGACTTTTAGGTTTAGGGTCCCGATTCCTCCTTTGGGTCAAGCTCTTTGTGGTAAAGTAATGATGAGAGTCCTGTTTTCTTAAGCAGTTAGCCCTTCTAGAAGGGTATATTTTGCATCGTTTACTAATTTATCTCTACCAAAATGCCAGTACGCAGCAGATTCTTATTTGATATTTGAATGAAGAGTCACTATTATGAGTCTATTATGAGTAAACAACATTTATTTAATTCTGGTTTAGCTAGGCTAATGCTGTGGCACTTACTAACTGTTCAGTTTAGTTTTTCCTCTTGATAAGTGGTTTGTTTCTATTCACCTAAGTCTATTAAATGAAATCTACTGTGAAACAATTTTAAGTTACTAGAAAGAACATAAGTCAAACTCATCTAGCTTATTGGGTAATCACAAAGTTGTCTGCCCTAACTGTAGTGCCTTACCTTGTACTTCAGTTCATTTAGTGTTAGCATTTAAATGTGGTGCCTTTAGGAAAACATTGCTGAAATGCTTATTTTCTTTGTGTGTTGACTTTTGCTTTCTTAATGGTGACTTTGTTGGATATGGTCTTCTTTATTTATCCCTCTTCATTTTTATCTTTTTGCTTTCACATCAGCTAAATAGGCAAACAAATCCAAGTCATAAATATGCTCTGATAGAGGAAGAAAAGAAAAACAGTAGTTGCATTTCAAACCTAACTTCCTGACAAGCACAGGTTTCAGTTCTTTTGTGTGGTGCTCTGCAAGGGTCCTGGCTTGCCTTTTAGCAAGGAAAGCAAGCCAGGAATTTAAGCTTCAGAAAATCCTGATGAAACTTTTCAGTTGTGGTTCCTAGTCAGCAATGATGCTTTTAACATAAGAATGTATCATTTCTATTTTCATATTGCTGCCTACCCACATCTGTTTTAGTGTCTTATTTAGATGCTTAAATTGAATAAAGAATTTTAAAAATGAGAAAAAAATAGTTGAAGATGCATGTTTTTGCAGAAAGAGTTATGGGATGTTATCTGTTAATGTTAACGTAATCCACTTTGTCAGCAACATATACAAGAATGATATTCCCTAATCCTTGTTTTTTAGACTTGGGAAGACCCAGGACACAGCGATAAGCATACTGGCTGTTGTGGTGACAATGACCCAATTGATGTTTGTGAAATTGGAAGCAAGGTAATGAAATTGGACATTTTATTCTACTGTGTTAAGATGAAATTAATGAGGGGCTGGGGATGTGGCTCAAGCGGTAGCGCGCTCGCCTGGCATGCGTGCGGCCCGGGTTCGATCCTCAGCACCACATACCAACAAAGATG